GTCCCACTAATGGGGGCCGGGCCCCACACGTCCAGATGGAGAGTCTGCAGAGGAGCAGTGGTCGGAGGAAACTCGGAGGAGTGAGGAGCGGCGCGCTGCCGCCCCTCGATCAAGGAAGGCACGGCGACGCAATTGAGCGCGGGAGGGGGGGCAGGGTCTCAGGGAGGCCAGAGACCAGGAGCCGAGAGTGCATGCCGCGCAGACGCTGCAGGGAGGGGTGACCAAGACAGTGGTGCCAGCGGTGAGTCTCGTGTGCGAGTACTCTGCACGAGCAAGACCCAGCTAACTGCCCTGACGCAGACGCTTGACTCGACGTAGCTACGTGACCTGACTCAGCCACCTGTGCAGACGCAATGGTTAGTGTGTATAGACTAGACCCAGGCTGTCGAGTGAACGTAGCCAGGTGACGGCCAGTCCGGGAGCACGTACAGATCGCCACACACTGCCCTCCAGGAATAAAGGTATCAACCCAGACATCCTGAATGGTAGGGTTGCTCACCAAGTTCGTCGAGAACGTGGGGAGGTGGAGACCTGACAAAGAGCCGGAGGGGACTGGTAGACAAGAAAGGACCGTGGAGGCTCTCGCAACCATTAGCCCCCCAGAGGGATCAGCCAGTGAGACTGGGACAGGTGCTGTGAGTGGTGTGACTGTGGTGGAATCACGAAAGAAGCAACGTGACGCGCCTGAGTCAACCGTGAAAGTGTGCAAGTCCTCATCTGAGGCAGGCACTGTGGTAGTAGACGCACTAGCACCTAGAGCGTCGGCAGACGCACGGGCACCTAAAACTGCAGCAGACTCACTAGCGCCTGGAGCGGCAGTAGACTCTCTAGCACCTAGAGCAGCAGACTCTCTAGCTCCTAGAGCAGCAGTCCTAACACAATGATAACCTCCACCACCAGGACGACCTCGCTGAATAACCCACCCGCGAAGCTGCCGAGGGGTGGGGTCGTCCGGGAGAAGGAGTGCCCGCTGCTGTCCACCCTTGGCCGCAGCAACTGCCGCGGAAGTGGCCATGACAGACAGTGACGGTCAGGAGTAGGTCCAGCACCTCCAGCTCCTACAGCGCCAGCAGCACCTCCACTAGTCCCAGTAGCACGAGTAGCAACAGCAGTAGTAGTAACAGCAGCAGGGCGGCGCGCGGCCACAGCAGGGCACTAGTAGGCAGTAGCTCCTAGGGCAGAAGCACCTAGGGCCCTCTTTTTTTTTTAATTAATAAACAATTTAATTATATTTAGGGTATAGCAGGGCGCTGGCGCAGGGCAGGGCGCGGGCGCAGGGCAAGGCGCTGGCGGAGGGCAGGGCGCCAGCGCGCAGAGGGCAGGGCGTTGTCGCAGGCTGCAGCAGTGCACGACACGAGGTGCAGCAGAGGGCGACGCGACGGGCTGCCTTAGAGCGCGACGCGTGGGCTGCAGCAGAGCGCGACGCTCGGCTCGGCAGGTCCGCGTGCGAGCTGTAGGGGTGGCGGGAACGGGCCGCAGAGGCGGCGCGCGGGCTCTAGGGGCAACGCGCGGGCTGCAGGGGCCGCGCGGACGGGCTGCAGGGGCAGCGTGAACGGGCTGCAGGGGCAGCGTGAATGGGCTGCAGGGGCAGCGTGAACGGGCTGCAGGGGCACTGTGAACGGGCTGCAGGGGCAGCGTGAACGGGCTGCAGGGGCAGCGTGAACGGCTGCAGGGGCGATGTACGGGCTGCAGGAGCAACGTACGGGCTGCATGGGTAGCGCCCGGGCCACAGGGGCAAGCGCGGCTGCAGGGGCAGCACGGTAGCAGGGGCGAGCACGGCTGCAGGGGCAGCACGGTCGTAGGGGCGAGCACGGCTGTAGGGGCAGCGCGGTCACAGGGGCAGCGCACGGGCTGCAAGGGTCGCGACAGTGAGAGCTAGGGGCGCCAGCGCGCTGGCTACTGTGTAGGGCGTGGCGCTACCACTAGGCGTAATGGCGAGCCCATGTAGGAACGGTTCCTAATCTGATAACATGTCAAGAATAGAACTAGGAATGAATGATTGAACTAGGCAAGAGGTGAGTACAAGTAGGGGAAACCTAACCCTAAAGTGTTGTAATCGCTAAGGAGTGACCCTACTGTAGCTTAGTGGTACAATTTTAAGCCGACAGGTAGCTGTCTACGGAGGTCGGAACGGGTTTCTCAGGAGCCATGAGAATCCAGGCCATGAGAGGACGCTCCAGGCTGCGGTACGGGGGCTCGGGGCACGGGGTAGGACTCTCGGCTGCGCTGGCCAGCCATTGGGCAGACCTTACAGACGGGTGTTGGCTTGGCCTGGTCACCGTTGGGGTCGCATGGTTGCAGGCTAGCCGGCCAAATACCTAGACTGTTTGCTCAACGCCTACGCTTTGCTTGCTTGAATCTTGCACATGCCTTGCTTGTACCCCATATACACTTTAATGAAGGACCGCTTGAGAGGGGAGAGGGGGCGCAAGGGGAATGGCCTGGGCAGCTGAAAATACAAACGTGATCATGAAAGAATTTGCACAAACCACTAGGATGTTTCCATGGCAGCACAGAATGTTTTTGTCACCCTGACACACCATCACTGCAATCTATCAACAACAACCCCGAGTCCCGACTCCCGACCAGGGTTGTCGATTGCTCTAGGGCCAGAACTTGGGGCTGAGCTGCCCAGAAATCTGCCCTTATATTTACGTTTTGAGGCCAAACTCAACACTTCAAATCAAGGCTACAAAGTCTTAAGCACTTTTGCTAAGACAAGATATCACCCTGGATTTGTACTTCCCAACCGAATTGATTCTTCATGCGCTTGGCTAAATTACTAATAAAAACCTCTTAGCGGAAAGAATCTGACTCAAAAGAGTAAGGGTGAAGTACTGGGACCTCTCCAGTACTTGTATGGAAGTATTGCCCGTCTGCTGCGTTCCCACTACTTTTGCGACCAAAGGAGGAGTCGTGAGGCTGTTTGTGGATAGAAAACAGAAGGGATGGAATTCCCGCAGACCTTCAATATGTACTTAAAACTACATCAGGTTCTTACGTCCAGATCAGGTCCCAACCTCGAGATTTTACCAAGTACAGCTCTCGGGAAAGTTATGGTGCACCTGGAACTGGGATGACAGGAAATGGGGCGGGGGGGGGGGGGAGGGGGGGGGGGGGTGAGGAGGGATTGGGGGGAAAGGGCTAGCCTCAAGACTGATACATGAAATCCGGGTGAATTCCGAGGACATCACTTTAGGCAGACAGGCTGACCTTAAACCAAACCCTAAAAATCGGGAACCTAGGGCAAACTCAACCCTTAATGTTCAGGGCATTAACGACATTTGCCCTTGTAGCGACGGTCGGGAGTCCTGACCTCACAAATTATCACCTGCCATACATATTATCATTCATCAAGGCAGTGAGGATTATTTACGCCATCACCGTACATCTCGCTAGAAGCGACAGCCCAGCATTACCCTCGCATACTGATTATTGGAGGCAAAAGCGTTAGTCATTATCACATGAACTCTTTGATCGTGTTTCCACAACTCGTTAGATCTCAGTACCGTAGATAGTCTCGATCGCGTTTTAGTCCTACTTTAGCGTTCGCCGCTTCACATACTAGTGTGGTTACTATTGCTGATTTTAGTAAGGTGCGGATAGTTCATCTCCCCAAATTCGCGCCAGTAGTGGTAATTGTCGTTTATCTGTACTGGTAAGATCTGATGATTTTCTAGCTCATCTACAGTGTGAAAGTTTGCGCGAATTGCAAAACATTTGTAAGGTTTGTTTTATAGAGAGTGATTTCGGGTTGGACGAAAAGAATGCGGACACATTCGCAAGTTTTTATCGCTCGAGGGTTTTCATGCAAACACATGATACGAACGCAAGTGTAACGCATTACCTATTACTGCCCAACGTACTCCTATCTCATAAGGCGATCGCCGGAAAGTGTTTCGACGGGAATTGATATGAGGAGGAAGAAGGTTGGGTTGGGATGGGAATGTTGGTTTGGGTCTCCAATCCTCAGCCTTGAGGTTTGGAATACGCCAACCCATCAAAGTGCAATTCAAAAGGTTGGAATTCCAACCAATCAGAAACTGTCAGTTAAGTGTTATAATCTACTCTATTATAAACAGAATCATACAAATGATTCTAGGTTGGGTTTTCCCAACCCAACTAATTGCTACATAGGCTCCAAGCCTAGGAACCATCCCACCGTGGAAACCATGGTTGGGAGAGTTCCCCAAGGGGTGTATTGAGGGGGCTTGAACCAGCAAGCTCATTCTTCACCTCCCACTCCATCTAATCAATTGCAAATGTGATTATTTGGCTTAGGTCATTGAGCTCTCTCACAGGACTCCCTACACAACTCTTTCAAGTGTTTCTTATCAAGAGCTTCAAGAATACTCTCCTACAACAACCCAAGATCTCTTTAGAGGCATAGATAGAGTTTTCCATTGTACTTGGGATCTATATAACAATTTCAAACTCTATTATAAAGGGCCTTGGCATTATATTGGTAACTAGAGCAAGGTTATTTCTTGGCCTTGTATGGCCATTTGCTACTTGGATTTTTTTTTTTTTTTTTCTTTTAAGGATCCTAGATTGTGGATCTAGGACTTCATCCAATGAGCTGTGAAGATTTTGAAGACTTTGAGGGGATTTTCAAGATCTACAAGTGCATCTTCGAGATCTACAATCTTCAATCCACTTTTTTTCAAACCACCATTAGAGCTACAAGATCTTCTTCATCAACGTTGGGAAGAAGTTTGAAGAGAAATTTATTTTCTCTTGCCCACCATTTGGTGGAAGACTCTAATATACCTTTGGTGGAAGAGTATCATCAATTCTACGAGGACTTGTTGAGGATCTACTCATTTGAGTACATCTTGCTCTATCATTGAGGTGACAGAGAGATCTTGCAAACAAGTTAGCCTTAAGAGATTTTGTATTGGATTATTTTGTAAAAGTAATCAGACTTCTCAAATATTAAAAAAAAAAAGATTTATAGAGATCTTCCCTCCTTAACCTATTTCGTGGCTTCTGGTCAAGAGATGGATGCTACTAAGAAGGTGCTTGTTGCTGGCAATAAGGGAGATAATGTTGTTGCTACTGCTGACATAGATCTCAAGCATGATGACTTCATGGTTGACATGGAGATCAATAGAAGTGAAGCTGAACATGAGGCTGTTGCCGAAAATGAGGATCAGGATGGCTCTGATGAGGGTGTCTCCAATGAGACCAAGGACATCGCTGTCAAACTCCAGACTCAACTCACGGAGCAGCATATTCTCATTGGGGAGCAGCAGTGCCGCATCCGGAACTTGGAGGCTGATTCTGTTAAGCTTCTGGCCTTGATTCAGAAGCTGAGCAAGGAGGTGCAATTGATCCCTAAGGAAAATGACACCTCCAACTTCATTCATGACCTACAGACCACTCTCCAGTTCGTGCAGGATCAGCTCATGAAGCAAGAGAAACACATCTCTGTGCTTCAAGCTCAGTTCAAGGAGATCCGGCGTGGAAACCTCTATCAGCCTGCTCCTGCAGGAGAGCGAGTCGTCAACGCCTTTAACAGCCGTGCTGCACATGCTGCTGCACCTCCTGCTATTCCTCCTCCTTTTGGAGCACGTGCTGAGCCTCCTACTACAGCTGCAAATGCCTTTGGCTCCTGCCCTTCGACCCTGCCTCATTTTGTCCATAACAAGCGGAGTGGCCTCTTTCCTCTAATTTCCCTCCTCCCCCCTCCTCGCGCTTTTGTACCCCTCCCTCCCCTCTAGAAACGTAACGCATCCCGCCTCCCCCAAGCTCTCCCCACATCCCCCAAGCTCTCCCCGCGTCTCCCTCACATCTCCCCTGCATCTCCCCCGCACTCCCCTCATCTTCCCCACTCTCCTGTCATCTTCAGCGCTCTCCCCTCACCATCCCTTCTCGCTCCTCGTCTCACCCGCCCCCCCCATCCCCTACTCCCCCCTTCCTCCCTCTCCCCTCTTTTTGATGCGTGCTCAGCCTATCTCGTCTCGTTTCCTTGCTCCCCCAACCCTCAGCTCCACACCACTCCCCCCAACCCTCAGCTCCAAGACTTAGTCGTCGGGTGTGAGGGGAGCAGCCGATGGGCAAGCTGGTCGATAGGGCTGGTCGACCTGCACGGGGGCCACTGCACGGGCGTTGACTTTGTGACGCCGACTTGGGGCAGCCGACTTGGGTGGCCGGCTGACAGGAGTGATGTCGACCTGGTGGTCGACCGAACGTGGTGATCGACGAAGGAAGGGCCGACATCGACGTCGACAGGGGAGACTGGGGACGTCGAGCTGGAGGGTGTCGAGGAGCTGGACGCCGAGCAGCTGGGTGTCGAGCAACAGGGCCCCAAGGTGGAGGGCGCCGAACATTGGGGGCACCGAGGTTTGTGCAATCTGCGACCGACCGAGCTGGTTGACCAGGCGTGGTTGCCCGGTCGACCAGGATATCCGGGCGACGTGTGCGAAGGTCGCCGGGGTGCCTTCTGCGAGGCCGACCTCGGGGGTGGTATCCCGAAGTCGACGTGGCTGGTGGGCGCAGTCGCTGGCGTGGAGTCTACGAGGCTTCTGCGCTGTGCTCGTAACAAGGCGTGGAGCACCAACCAGCTGCACGCACCTGCAAAGCAGGTGCACCGTTGTTCTGCGGATGCAACGCTGTGCAGCCAACTTGCTGCAACGTTGGCACGACGTAAGCTTGCAACGTTGGCAAGCCGCGACTTTGCTCTGCTGGAGCGCGGTTGACCAAGTTGTGCTGGCACGTGGTTGAGCGTGCTGCGCTGGAAGTCGACCAGCAGCTTTGCTAGGTTTGATGTAGCCTTGCATGCCAATATTGTTACTATCATTGTTGTCAACCTTCCTTGGTGAAACTCTTGCCAAATTGCCCCCTGAACCAGCAAGTAGTGTGTGCACTAGGAAACGACTAAACGAACGAACGCAAAGATCTCACAAGCACCCGTGTCTAGCCCGTTGTACTAGTTATCTCCTCATCTCCCCCCTTCACTACTAAGCTTTTTCACTCCCCTCACCAGTCCTCACGTCCTAACCATCCCCGATCCCCCCCACCCTCCCTTCACCTTTCTGCTGTTCACCCCTCATCAACCCCACCCATACACTCCTCATTACCTTTCCCCATCCATCCCCTCTCTCCAGTCCCTTCCCCCCAACCAACCCACATTCCCCACCCGCTCACTCTACATCTCCTCGCTCCCATCCATTTTCTCTCCGCTCAAACCCTCCTCCAACCCCCTCCTCTCCCCCTCTTCCCCCCTTCTCTCCTGCCCCTCCTAACCATCTGTCGTTCCTGCTGCCCTATCACTCATCTCAAAGCTCTCCTCAATTCTCTCTCCCGCTCACCCCCACATCTTCCCTTCCCCGCACCTGCCACTTGTCCTCTTGCCTCTGCTCCTTGCCTCGACTCTTTCGGTCTGCTGCTTCCCTTTGGGTAGTTGTCTTTAGTGATATATGTGGAGTTCCCTTTTTTGCTAATTGCCATTGCGGCACGCATCAGCTAGCTGCTTTGGTCTTACTTAGAGTGAGTGAGTGGCACTCTCCTTGTGAATTCTTAGTCATTCACACCATGCCGTTTGCTTCCCCAGCTGCCTGATCCGCCACATGGGTTGCATGTGCTTGCACTTGCTGCTCGTGCACGTCAGTCAACTCAGTGAGTTGCTTTCGTCTCCTGACACTCTCTTTGTGACTGCATGGTCGTTCTTTAGCACACTATGTTTACACCATGCCATTTGCTTCCCCAGCTGCCTGATCTGCCACATGGTTGCATGTGATCGCATTTGCCGCTCGTGCTTGTTAGTAAACTCTGTGAGTTGCTTTCGTCTCCGGGCATTCTCTTTGTGACAGTATGGTCGTTCTTTAGCAAAGTGCATTCACACCATGCCATTTGCTTCCCCAGCTGCCTGATCTGCCGCATAGCATAGGTTGCATAAGCGTGCATTTGCTGCTCGTGCATGTCAGTCCAGTCAGTGAGCTTCGTCGGTCTCCTGGCACTCTCCTTGTGACTGCATGGTCTTTCTTAAGCACACTGCGTTCACACCATGCCGTTTGCTTCCCCAGATGCCTGATCTGCCACATGGTTGCATGCGCGTGCATTTGGTGCTTGTGCATGTCAGTCAAGTCAGTAAATGCTACCTTTGTGAACGCCACATTGGTTGAAAAAAACATGTTACATTCCCTTCCATGAACACAATCACTTCTCACCATCACCATAGCCAATGGCTGCTCAAATCAGGCTACACTCTCTGCCTTTGTCCGGTTTTAGCCAAGAGATATCTTGTCTCAATACCCTCAACCCCAACCCATACCAACAATGTTGATACTATGCCAACGGCATCAAAGCATGACTTGACGTTCAAGCCCTACACTACACACCCAACCACTCACCCACCCACCCCCATCTACCCACCACCCCCAGTTAGCGCCCACCCAACCACCCACCCCCAACAGCTACCCAACCCCCCAGTCACCGCCACCCACCCACTGGGTCACAACCTACGATATGTGTTTTACAGAATGCGTATGGCCTGACAATGCATCCACACCCGTGTTATTTATGCCCTTGGTGCCTTCATCTTTGAATATACTAAATACGACGAGGATCATGCACTGGTGCGAATGGATTCCACTAGCAGAGATAATTTTTTTAGCATCTAGGTCCCGGGAATCTACGCAAGAATTGTCCGCGGATCGCTCCCTGAGGATACATGTCTGTAGCAATTGTTGCATAGTAATTTGTTGGATTTTGGTTAATAATTTTAACCATCTTGTAAACAGATATGCTTGTACCAGGGATCATGACCTATGGTGCACGTTTGAAAATGCGTTTCAGCTCCAACTGATCCTCGTTTCGTTGTGTCCACATGCCCTCGATGTTCCACACCATGTTACCGTTCGTGCCACGTGTTCCTAGGTTAATGGATTGGTTGAGAGGCGGCATAGGGAGTGCAAGCTGGTGCGTATTTTAACTGATGTGGACGTCCAACCCGCCTTGATACCTACAGATCCCCGTTAAAAGACCGCAGGAAAGCCCGACATCAATAGAGAGAAAATAAGAAGTGTTTAGGGAGCTAATGTAGGGAGGGAAGGACGCATGTTTGCTAGGGCTGAGAAAGCGGGTGGGTGTGGTGGATGAGGATGTGTAGATGTCTCTTTAGTAGATGTCTTGTTAGAAGGCACAATCAAGAATGTGATCGCACTTGTCGAGGTAGATGTTGAGGTGATTTTTGGATCGACTCATATGTTTACCTGTGTTCTAACTTGTCTTTGAGGCGCCTCAAAAAACTTGTCTAGTGGCAGCCATTGTTTGAGAAAAATGCGTTCAATAAGTGATCCCGGATGTCAAATGTTGTAGTCTTAGTGATGTGTGTTATAGGGGGTACAACTGTTAGGGTTAGGTTTATTTACCCCAACCAACCTTAATCAAACCAGCACTTTCATTCTTGACATGGTATAACCTACGTTAGGATCCTGTGGGATCCCGCTAGAGCTTCTCGGACCCGTTGCACGTAGTCTACCGTTCTCGTTATGCCTGTTTCGTCCCGTAGCGCCTCTTGTGGCCGTTCGTTCCATCCTGTAGCGCCCTAAGCGCTTGCCCGCTCCATCACGAAGCGCCCGTAGTGCCTGTAGCTCCCTTAGCGCTTGCCCGTTCCGTCGCGAAGTGCCCGTAACGCATGTCGTTTTGTCACGAAGCGCCCGTAGCGCTCGTAGTGCCCGTCGCACGCGCCTCCCCGTCCCCTGCCCATCCCGTCCCCTGCCCGTTGCGTCCCCTGCCCGTTGCATCCCCTGCCCATCCCGTCTCGTGCCCGTCCTGTCCCCTGCGCGTCGAGCTGCCCGTCCCGTCCCGTTCCCTACGCGTCGTGCTGCCCATCCGTCCCGTCCCCTGCGCGTCGCGCTGCCCGTCCGTCCCGTCCCCTGCGCGTCGCGCTGCCCGTCCCGTCCCCCCCTCCCGTCAGCGCGTCGCGCTGCCCGTCCCGTCCCCCCCTCCCGTCAGCGCATCGTGCTGCCCGTCCCGTCCCATGCCCGTTGCGTCTCGTCCCCCCCCTTCCGTCGAGTCGCCCCCAGCCCGTCGCTTCGCGCCCTGCTGTCCCGTCGAGTCACGTCCTACCCGCCCCGTCGCGTCGTGCCCTGCTGTCTCGTCGCGTCGCGCCTTTCGCTCAGCCCACCGCGCCCTGCTCAGACCCTCTAGGCGTTTAGGGTTTTGGCAGCAGCAATATCCACCTCTACGCTTCCGCTATGGCGATCCCTAGGATCCTGCAGTTTGACGCTGAGGGTAGGCCACTCGAGTTCTCGGTCTGGCTCCTGCGTGTGCGCCGCCTCCTAGAGAGCCAGGTTCAGGCACACGAGACTCTATGGGCGCACGCTTTCGGTGACCTTCCTGAGCTCACTAGCCCTACACCCTTAGCAGCTAACCCCACACCTGTAGACAGTGACCGTTATGCACGCGAGCGTGCTGACGTGACTGCGTGGAAGTCGCGTGATGCTGCGGCCTGCTTCGCCCTCAGCAACCTCCTCCCAGAGTCTGAGGAGATCCACTTCACTCAGGTTCGCACGGCTAGTGAGTTCCTGACTGCGATCAAGGCCCGCTATGCTACTCCCACCATTGTCTCTCCTGGTTGCCTGTTCCTTCCGTTCCTGTTTCCTGGCCTCGCCTCATTTGAGCGCACTGCTGACTTGATCACTTATCTGCACTCGCTCGATTCTAGCTACCGCGTTACTTGCACTGACGCACAGCTTACACTGCTCCCTCCCCCCATGGCGATTACTATGTAATTCATCGCCACTAGCGTCCCGGACCGCCTTGCCTTGGTTCGTGATGTGCTTCTTCTGAAGCACCCTAGCGAGCTCACTATCGAGGTCCTTGAGTCGGCCCTCAAGGACGTCGAGGGCAACCTCCACTCGGTAGCCTCTGCCTCTGGTGTTGTGCCCCCTCCACTGTTTCACGGGTGCACTGTCCCTCAGCTGACCACATTTACTGCCTCCCTCGCCACTGTCACTACTGACGTGATCGCAGCTGCTGTTACGACTTCTTCGCGGTCTCGAGGTAGGAGTGGCAGGAGGGGCGGTCAAGGTGCAAGCGGAGGCGGTGGGGTGACGTGGCGAGCAGCGGCGGCGGGAGTGCAAGGGCTGGAGGAGTGCCTCGTGCAGCACCCGGTGACTCCTCTGCTGCAGCCGGTGGAGGTGACGCCCGGGTTCGTCAGCCACCTACTGGTCTGCCAGCCGCAGGGGGTGGAGCAGCGGCGTGATACCTGACTCAGTGACAGCAGCAGCAGCAGTAGCCCCTCCCCTCACAGCAGCGACAGCAGTAGGTTTCGGGGCAGGGGTCAGGACTGCGTTAGCTACAGCTCGGTGTCGTCCACCCTCCCTGCACCTATCACGTTCTGACAGGTGCCCGCCGCGGCCAGCCTTGTGGCCGCAGCCACCCACCGGGTCAGTGCTTTCCCTAGCTTACTGACACGGTTCGGTTGGCCTACAGCGTTGACGGCCCTACCCCTGACTGGCTTCCCCTTGTTCAGCCGTACAGCTCCGCTCTGTGGGGCATGTCGGCTTCTCAGTTGGTTGATCTCTTAGGAACTCCTCATGCTATGTATGCTGTTGTTGACTCTAGTGCTTCTTACTTTGTTTACTCGAGTGTTGTTAGCTTAGGTGCTAGTCTTGCTAAGGTTCCTTTTGCTAGTGTAGGTACTTGTGTAGACACTAGTCCAGGATTTAGGGTCACTTCGCTTTCTTTCACTCTGGACTCCGGAGTGCTCCGGAGGACGCTTCGCTTTCTTTCACTCTGGACTCCGGAGCTTCGCACTACTTCTTCCGCGACCGCATGACACTTACCCTGCTTCCTACACCAGTCTCTGTAGCACTGGCTGATCCCACTTCGGGACCAATCACTGCTCGCTACACTACTACGCTTTCGTGCCCGGCTGTTCCCTCCGGTTCTGTGACCGGCTTCCACGTCCCCTTGTTCTCGAGGAACTTGGTGGGCGTGAGGCCGCTTATGAGTTAGTATGTGTGGATTGAGCCTTCTGGCGAGACTGCGGTTTGTGTCGACGGGGACACGTACGCGCCTCTCGCCACCTTTACCGCTGAGCCGGGCTCTGGTCTCTACACACTTCACACTGGCCCCCGACAGCAGCAGCAGCAGCAGCAGCAGCGGCGGCAGCAGCAGCAACAGCAGCAGTGGCAGCAGCAGCAGTAGCAGCAGCAGCAGCAGCAGCAGCAGCAGCAGCAGCAGCAGTAGCAGGAGTGGCAGTAGCAGCAGCAGCAGCGGCAGCAACAGCAACAGC